AAGGTTACCATCAGACACACAATCAAGCAGTAAATATATGCTAATGAAGGAACTACCAGAGGAGCAAAACAAACCCCCCACCCCCACCAGCACTGGCAAGGCATGCTACAGTATATAAATAGAGAGCAAACCCCATCCCATTTTAGCACTGCAGATGTTACCTAGCCAGGTAATGAAACGTTTGCAAGAAAAGAACCAAACTCAGAGAACCCCAAGGACTCCACATTGCAATAAAAAAAGAACTTGCACAAGAATAATTTGATGTGGACTGCAAAATGAGCACATAGAAGAAAAAACCTGCAAACATTACCTGGGAAAAAATGATATTTCTTCCAGCTTCAGCTATCTTCAGGATGTTCTTCGCAAATTCAAGGGAAAAAATGATATTTCTTCCAGCTTCAGCTATCTTCAGGATGTTCTTCGCAAATTCAATTTCTGCAAATAACCAACACATGAATGGATTGAATCTCCATCAGAAATCCATGGCAAGAGCAGGGAGTTATTTCTGCTGAGCTGGATAAAACCTTGAGATTTTGGAAATCTGTCTTTCCTACCTTGTGGCAAAGTTTGTAAGAATAGTTGTGCACCTACTCTAATGCAAAATTCTGCCTCTTTAACCTCAAAATGGCCTGCAGGACAGTCCTATTGCTAAAGAAAAGAGGAAGCATATTCTCTGCACAGGGGGGTAGAGGAGAAGAATGACTGGGTCAAAGTAATCTAGCGAGCTTCCGTAAAGCCTGGATGTTGACAAATAAAAACTCACCATAAGTAATACGTTTGTCTATCCAATTCAACAGCTCCTTGACGTATTTGCACCACATTTTGGCATACCTTAGGGCTGCTTCTACACCACCTTCACATTTGATCAGCATCTCATCAGCTTCTTCAACTGAGAAAATTGATTTAATAGGTTGATTTCAGAACACAGTCAATGAAATCAGTATTGTCATTAACTAAGGACTAGCCTATTGGCAGTATATGAATTTCTTATTGCCCAAATGGGAAACCCATGCCCCTCTAGCTGTTGCTGAACTATAATTTGTAACATCTCTCACCATTGCCTATGTTGGCTGAGGCTGCTGGCTATTGCAATTCAGTAGTACAGTGGTACCTCTACTTACGAAATTTTCGAGATACGACCAGCTCCGGCCCCCAAAATTTACCTCGATGTACGAACTCTGCCTCGAGATACAGCCATTTTTCCACCCTGACACGTGGTCCGCGGCCATTTTTCCGTCCTGACACGTGGTCCGCGGCCATTTTTCCGTCCTGACACGTGGTCCGCGGCCATTTTTCCGTCCTGACACGTGGTCCGCGGCCATTTTTCCGTCCTGACACGTGGTCTGCGGCCATTTTTCCGCCCCTGACAGGTGGTCCGCGGGCGTTTTTCTGCCCCACCGCGTGGCGCGTGGGCGTTTTGCCGCCCCGCCGCGCCCCTGACGCGCGGCACGTGGGCGCTTTTCTGCCCCTGACGTGCGGCACGCGGGCATTTTGCTGCCCCGCCGCGCAACACGCGGGGGTTTTGCCACCCCGCCGCGCCCCTGACGCGCGGCACGTGGGCGCTTTTCTGCCCCTGACGTGCGGCACGCGGGCATTTTGCTGCCCCGCCGCGCAACACGCGGGGGTTTTG